TTTATTTATTCAATAAAAGAAAATGGCGAAGATAACTACGTAGCGAAACGAAAAATACCCATTAACATTCCAAAATTTTGAACATGATATAAATGTTACCGATATGGATTTCACCCTGAAGAAAAGTTCCAGTTGTAAGAATAACTTTCGGCGCAAATACTATTTCACCTGAATCTATTTAATCAAAAGATTATAGTCTTACTAAAAGATAATTTTCTAAAGAAATAAATCTATAGAAATTACCTAATTTAACTCCTTGAACTTCTCCATGAATATTGTTTTGACTTCCTACATCACCAAAAACTATTGAGTTGTGTGCAATAGCAAGGTCATAGACACTCGCAGCCTTTATTGTAAGATTCGGATAATTAAATAAACATTCTTGCATGTGTTTTTTATACAGTTTTCTATCAATTTGCGCTCTTGGACCCTATTAAAAAATATATATTTATATATCAGAATATGTAAACTAAATGAAGCAATACTATTTATATTATGATTTTTAGTCGATTAATAAAATTTACATGTACAGCAGGACCTTTTGAACGATTCAGTATATGAAATTGTATTCCAGAAAGGTCTAAAATTTAATAAAAGTGATTAATTCTATTTTATTCACATTTTAAATATTATTCTTGATCAATAAATAAAATACCAATCACCAGATATTTTTCCACATAACCCATCCAAAGCATCAATCTCTTTAACTAATATTCCTTTTCCAATCCCTCCAAATGATGGATTACATGACATTTCACCTGAATTGGAAATACATTTTAATAAAATGATATTTAAAAATGTTTCCAAACAGAAAATACTATAAAATTAAACCCGAAAATTAACCAATAGTATCGAGCTTTTGAGTAACAAGTAAAGTTTTGGCACCAGTACGGGCAGCGGCAGCACACGCTTCTGAACCGGCGTGACCGCCGCCGACTACTATAACATCATATTTTGAATGATCTGGATCTCGTGCTGAAACAGTAACGAAATTTTTTGAAAATAATCTTTTGTTTAGTATTGACTTTTTGACTAAAAATTTCGGCAAATATATGCTTTGACGAGATTTTAACATCAACATTGGTATTTGATCTCAAAGATTGCAGTTCCCGTCTGATTTGCATAAAAATCCGCAGTCCCATGATTTTAAACCAATCAGGACACAAGATCTAGTGTAACGTGAAAGTGACAAAATATTTTCTGATACAGGTTCCAAAAATCTTTTAAGACGATGAAACATTTTAAAATGATCAACTAGTATTAGATGAGTAGTAATAGACGTCAGGGGATTAACAGCGCGTGCTATGTTTTATACACGGACAAAAATTTTCTAAATTACTGTTTCGATACAATTTTCATAATATTTACGTATGCAAATGTATCAAGAAAAATTGCATTTTTATGAACGAATTACATCATTAGCGTAACGTTTGTATCACGTTATGTAGAGATTGAAGCTCCGGACATTGTGACCTATGATAATATATGTAACTACCTTATAAAGGCCGTCTGAAGGATTTTAGATTCATAGGAGGCCATGCGCGGATCCCGCGCGTGATTCATCACGTGATACACGGGATAATTCGGACCAATACCATAATTCCGGCCGAAATTTACTGTAATCCCGGTAACTATCCCGCGAATCACGCGCGGGATTTTTGGAGAAACTGCCAATCTCTAAGTACCAGTCTTAGCAGATATAACATCAGAGTTGGCTTATTAGAAGACTAAGTATATCAGATAATGGGTATTTTTCGTTTCGCTACGTAGTTATCTTCGCCATTTTCTTTTATTGAATAAATAAAAAATATATTCGATATATTCTT